CTGCAGGGTGGCAGGGGTGGGCATCTCCCCCTCGGTGCATCTCATTCCCAGTATGAAAGGATAGTTTCCAAGCCTGGGAGATTTCTGTGGCCTATGTGGCACTTTGCTGCATGCTGAGATTGGCCACAGACAAGTCGTGCCAGCAGCGGTAGGTGAGCAGAAATGCCTGTCCACCGATTATCCTCAGGACCTGAATGGCTGTTACTGCCAATAAGCCACCTAATAGAGGCCCTGAGCGATCCTGCCTCTAACGCCAATATTAGCAAGGTGGCTGCTCTCCACCTGTGCCCCAGTGGTGATCTCCTGGGGCCAGGCGGCTCTTCCAGCGCCGTTTGATCAGCTCTGCAGAAGAGAGGGGAAAGGAAGAGCACAGGTGCGAGGAAGCGTGCACTGTGCGACTGGCTTACCGGCGATGTAGACGGGTGATTTATGATTGCATATTTCATGTGGCAGGAATGATATTGCCAGAGGTCGGAAGGAGAGGAAAACACACACTTGCTGCAGGGGACAGACATCTTACAAATAACGAAAAGCCTTTTGAATTTTCTGGCAAGTCTCATCAGGACAATCCTCCAGCACGGGGGCAAGCTAGGCTTTCTCTCGCGGCGCCGGCTGAACCGTTACTGTTTGTCCAGGACACGCTGGCAGGATACCCGGGAGAGGTGGAACGGTTTCCTTCTTGCGCTTTTGCACAGGACTTTCCTCTCTGAGGCCGTCCGTGCAGCTCCATCCTGCTGTGGACCTTCTTTATGGAGGCATTTCCAACCACTTCTTGCTTTGCTTTATTAAAGAAGCAAAACCCGCAGTAGAAGCCTGATTTCCACGAGACTTGGACTGTGTGTCAATACTGGCATGACTCGCATCTGTTCAGCTGATGCAGATCAGGGTTGAGAGGGCAGCACCATCTCACTGGTTGCAGGGTAGCAGTCACTGGGGATGGGCACCAGGCTCATTTCACGGTTCTGCTTTCATGCCGGGCATCGAGCTAAGGGAAAATCGAGGAAATTCCCCTACCCCTGCATGGGAGGTCTGAGAGCAGGGAAGGCAGGGAGAGGGAGCCAGCAGGGGAGCTCCCGCAGGGCTCTAGTAGGGGCAGCGCGGCACAGGCGGAGCTGGAGAGAGGTGTTGGTAGCGTTAGCTATCTGCAGGTATCAAAATGTATTTCATTGCAGCACCTGGAGCTCCCAGTCAGCGCTGGGACTCGGTTGTTTCATGCTGCGCAGATGCACGCAGACAGGGTGAAGAACGGGCAGCATATGAGTTTGGTGCAACAGGGCTGCCCAAGCCCCTGAGCAAACTCTTCTGTTCCTTCCCTCCTCTCTCTCCTGTCCGTTCAGCTTCTCCCTCTGGCTTTGACTCAGGTTTTCTTCAGTTGAACTATCACTCTGTTTCCAGTGCAGCAGATCTGCTGGCAAGGGCTAGCGCTGTCTTCTCTTCCCCCAGTGGACTCCCGTCCCAGCTGGTTGAGGATGTTTTCGGGGGGAACTGCAGCCCGAGAGCTGATATGCTGCAAGACTCTTTCCAGCCATGACAGGGTTCATTGCACAAGGATCTTTCTCCCTTCCCCGATGAGCAGCTAAACTTTACATTTTCTAAGTCTGGTAACAAGATTAAAGGATCAATAACACTAAATGCGTGTTTAATAGGAGACGATGCCCTGTGCTGGCCGTGGCGATGAAGAACCATTAGGCCGCTATTATTTTGGACAGCCTGTGACCACTGCGTGCAAACCATTTCATCTTCAAGCTTTGGCACAGTGTCACTATTCGTGCAGCTCCTGAAGTGCAGTGACTCGCACTGCAAGTGGTTTTATTGCCCTGTGCTGGAAAAGGATTGGGGTTTCTGCAATTCCTTGATTAGTCGTAGTGTTGTATATCTCAGTTCAGGGCAGTGCAGTTTCTCATCCCCCCCTCCGCACTCTGCTATCCCTCTGCACAGGACGTTCGAAACAGCTTTTATGGCTCGAGACACGCTGGAAGTGAACGCACTGCTGACAAGAGCAGCAGGCAAGGGCAGCGAGTGTCAGCTTCCCACTTATGCTACAGATGTACTACAGCCACCATGTCTTACCTGCGCGATGAAGGGACGGACGCATGAGCAGGGAATTGGTTCCTTTGCTAAGCAAGGGATCGGTTCGGGTTGTGGGGGGGTGTAGGCGCATGCACATGTGCTTGTTCTGTAGCTCTTGGACAATAATACAACATCTAATATTGCAGTGAATCACAACAGTGCTATGTACAGCTGTATACAATGTGATAAAACCTCCTGGCTCTGGGGAGAAAACCCCTGCCTGGTGCATGTGCTTCTGCCTCTTTGTTCCCTTTGCTACTCTCTTCCATCTCTGATGGAAGCAGTCCGTGCTTCCTGCCATTCATTTTGAAGGTTTTAATTCCACTTTTGTTCTATGTCTCCAGGACATCATTAGCATGGATCCTGGTTATAGATTCATAGATGTTAGGGTCGGAAGGGACCTCAATAGATCATCGAGTCCGACCCCCTTATCTCTGACTTAAAAAAAAATCCCCAATTTTCAGATTAAAAAAAGTAACCCAAAATCCACTTTTTTTATGCGATTAAAATGAAGCACCACTATATGACTCTATATATTAGTGGCATTTCATTTTGATCATGGAAAAATGTGCATTTTGGGTTACCTTTTTTAATCTGAAAAGGGATTTTTTGATTAGAGAAAACCAGGCTCCCTGATCATTAGCTTTCCTTGGCACCACAGACTTGGGGGCTCCAGTCTGACACCTCCCATTCCCCCTGCGTGTCCTAGCATCTCCAGCTTGGTCCTGTTATTTCTGATCCTCTTGGCTTGTGTTTTGTGCTTTTGAAAGGGGCTTTGTGATTTTTTTTTCTGCCCCGGGTGTTGAAGTTTTGTCGATGCCGCTGTTTAGGAAGCAGGGGCTTGAGAAACATTCAGGTTTCAGCTTCACCTTGTATGACAGCTGTTGTTACATATTTAGTGCTGCTGGGGTTTAATTTGGAGGGTAACGTGACTTTTTCCCCCCCAGATGGGCATCAGGTTGACAGTCACGTTTGGCCTTTGCTGTTCTGGCTTCAATGCCTTCATCGTCCTGCCTGTTTTGCATTTAGCACAGCGTCAAGATGTGGGACATAGCAAATATCTCCCGTTTCAGTCCCAGAAACTGTTGTCGCTGTGCTTGCTGTGTGCCGATCCCCTGGTTTTAGAGTGTGTGGCTTTGATTTCCAGTCCCACTTGCTGTGCACAGGTCAGGAGGCTGTGCCCCAGGAGGCAGATGTCATCTGGAGACGTTGAGGTCCTCTTTCCTCTGGGGGGGAGGCCGCTGTGTTCCCATTAACTGTTCCACATATTCCTTGCTACCTGGTTCGTGGCCGGGGGAAGGACACGGCTGGCATACAGTGCTTCTGCTGACGTCGGTAGTGACTTCACGTGATTGTCAGTTCGCTGCTATATGCTGCTTTATACGTCGCGTTTTCATAGTGGCTCTCGATGATGCTCAGATTTCCAGGGACCTCCTAGGGACGCGCTGTCCGCCACGCTCCAGCTGGGATCTGCAAATGTAGTGCAAGGGGGCAGCATGGAGGGGTGGTAATTGCTATTTAGCCAGCTGTGCACCGAAATGCCTGAAGGAAGCTCCGGGCTCACATCTTTCCCTCTGTGGCAGGGAGAACCGAGCCGAGAGTGACTCTCTGGGGACTGCAGTGCGTTGCCTTGAGATGCACCTGCGTGCACAAGTGAAGCGCGGGGCGCAGCTGGATTTCCAGTTTGCGTCGCTCCTGCAGCACCCGCCACGCTAAGCAGGCCCCGGTCCTCCATGTCTGTGTAACGTCCCTCTGCGGGGCCGGGCTCTTCCCTCCCTGCTCTAAACTCTTTGGCAGTGTGGCTTTGCATTCAGACCCACGCTGTGCTCCACCCCGCACATGGCAGCGTTTCTGGACCTGGCCAAGCTGTGCCTGGGCATCATTTGTGTACCACTCCACAGACTGTTTTTGGATCTTTTACGGTGAAAACTCCTGTCTAAATGGACGTTCTTTGTACCGCTTTATGAGCTGGCATCCACGTGTGTGCCACGTGCAGTGGACGTGGGAGTGTGTCCACGTACAGGGGATGTGGGAGTGTCAGGGGGAGTTCTTCGTGGTCCCGTGTTTACATGCCAGTGCCTGTAGCTCCATGGGTGTGTGTGTGCAGGGAAGCGGAGAGGAGGGGACCGTGAGTCGCCTGCTTGCTGGCTGGCAGATACTTCGTGGGTTTGTGGCGAATGCGTGTTTGGGGCAGACGGGTGGGCACCCCCTTTCCTCCGCACATTTTGCACTTGCAGCTCTTGTATGAAGCAAGCTTGGTGTCACACCGTGCTGCAGCCGGTGCTGAAGAGGCCAGGTGCCGGAGCGAGGATGGACCTTCGGTGGAAAGCAAGATGTCCCCCACCCCGCCCTTCCTTGGGCTCCTGCAGGCGAGGACAGCTTTGCAGCTGGACTGGGCTGTGCATCCTCTCCTGCTGTTGCAGGCACTAGCTGCTCTGGGCCCTGGGGCAGGGCAGGGAGCCGGCACAGCCTGGCTGGCACGTGCCCATTTCTAGCACACCTGGTGCCACCTAGCGATGAGCTGAGCCCAGAGCGTTTATTTAACACCTGGCTCCTTTTGGGCCCCCCAGGGGCGGATCCATTCAGCTCTTTTCTAGCAATTCCTCCCTTCTGCGGGTCTGTCTTCTGTAGCAGGCCACGCGCCTGGGCCGAGGAGGCTGCCGGCATCTAGAAAGGCAGCAGCAGCTCGGGGTTTGCCTCAGCCGGAGTTCTGCCCATTGCCCAGCTTGTCTCTGTCCCGATATGCACAAATGAACTGGTGTGTCCTTAGCAGGACAGGACACACCTGTGTTAGGCGGCAATCTTAGTGGGACCTCTTCTCCACCTGCGCTATTAGCATCAAACCTACCTGACCAGGATGGGAGTGGGGCGGACCTGTCGTGAGGTGGAAGCCCAGGCAGAAAAGCTGACCAGAAGGCAGGCGTTGCACAAAAGTCCTTTAATTCAACTGACATTGAGGAAAGAAAACTTTCCCCCCCTCAGGAGAACACGACTATTCCAGCTGTGGCCTTCAGAGCTCAAGACGCCTATCGACGGCCGCAGGACTGAAACCAGCCGCCTGCTCCCAGAAGCTGCTCCGAACCTCAGCTACAGAACGGTCAATAAATAAATTACACAGCAACAGCGGGGGCTGGACAGAGCTCTGATCCATCCCTAATTGCTGAACGGCATGCTTTTAGCGTGCCAGCGGGTAGAGCGCACACGCACGCCCAGGCGCGCATGGAGCTGTGTGCACACACGGGGCCATACAGTTCATCTCAAGGGCATGTGCATGCATGTGCACGTGTGCACACACACACACACACACACACACCAGGTACCATTCCTCTCTCTTGCACAAACGATCCTGTCGCGCTTGCTCCTCTTTCTTTGCTCACTCAGTGCTGGATTTTGCAGGTGAAGTCAAGAGCAGATAGATGGGCAGGGGGGAGGGGAGGGGAGGGGAGGGGGCATTTCCCATCAGGTCTCTAGAGATGAGCGAGCGCAGGGGTTGCACGGTGCCGGGCTACATCTCACGGCTGGTGTAACCCTTCCCCTGCGTGCTGCAGAACAGTCAGGTGACTCCGTGGCAGTTCTTGTTTGGGTGAGTTTGCTTCTAAATGACGTGTCTGCTTCCACAGATGTGGCCTGTCTCATTTTTCTACCGGCTCGGCAAAGCTTGCGTAGATGGGGGTGGCCTCCCCGGCAGCTGTTGGTTGCCCTGTTTCTCCGTGTTAGTGGCAAGTCGCTAACGTGCTGTTTGCCCAGGCCGGGAAGGTGTGGAGCTGGAACAAGGAGTAGCCCCAGGTGTTGATGGACAGGGTGATGGTGAGAACCCCCAGTATGTTGAGCATGAATCCAGCCTTGGCCTAGGATTGTGAAGACATGGAGTGAGTTGTTGGTTGAGCTGAGTGACCTCTCCCACCCTGCTTGTCCCGGGGCTCCCAACCAAGGTTGGCACCTGTGTCCATCCATGGGCCTGCAGAGGAGCAGGGCGGGATGGCCCTGCTTTGCATTGGGACCTGGAGACCCAGGGGGCAGGTCTGGGTCCTTTGGCCCAGGCACTAGTGAGTAGAGGAGGATGAACAGGCTACCGCGCTGGGCTTCCCAGCCAGCTTCAGCACCACTAGCAGCAGAGCTGGGGAGCACAGAGCACAGAGCCCAGCCTGGGGTGCAAGACCAGCCCGAGACGCCGGGGAAAGACGTAGGTGCCAGCATGCATGGAGTGAGGGTGGCTGCACTTGGGCATGCCTGCAAGGGTCGTGGTCACAACAGACAGGATTATCGCCGTTGCATGCAAGGTGCATCTCAGTGCACAGCTAGGTGGGGAGGGCGGCTTCAGCGGAGATGTCTTTATGCTGCATTTGTGCAGCACCGAGTCTGGACCAGCCCCTGCATTCCTGTGCTGTGTATGGTACCCCTTTTCCTAGCGTGCCCTGCCAGCCCTCCACACCAGATGTGGAGAGGTGTAACGTGCTCCCCAGCACTGGAAATGGGAGGGGATATTTCTTCCAGCAGGATCTGGGAATTTTCAGGCAACTTGATATCTCCCTGGCTTTGTTGTGTGACAGAAAAGGGTATTTTTATGTATAGCAAATCCAAGATGACCTAGCTCAGACGTTACCCTGCCTGATTTCCTGCCAAAGATGTCGTTTGCATTGTGGGGGCTGGGCTCTATAACCCGGTTGTCGGGAGAACTTCGAGTTTTCGTGCGCTTCGGACCAAGTCACTGCAGGGGTCTGGGACCGTGCCTGAATCCCAGACTTTCTCTCCCAGTGAAATACCTGCTGGGATGCTCGTTGACATGGTAGGGTCAGTTATCATGGAGTGATCTCTTCGATCAACTACAAATAAATGAGTGAGAGGGTTCTTGTGCAGAGGCTCGCGTCTTCCTGTGCTATCAGGAGAAAGACCGCCGACCCAGCTGCAGTGGCAGGCCCGCAGTCCCTGGGACGGGGTGTCTGAGGCTTTGCTGAAGCACTGCAGAGGGGTTAGGACCCGAAAGCTTGCAAAGAACTTTTTCCCAACTATGTAGTTGGTCTAATAAAAGATATCACTTCTACCCAAAGAACCTCACCTCCCCGCCGTCTGCACCACCGCGCCGTTCCATTTCCCATCCGCTCCCTGCAGCTCCGGGGGCAGCTCAGAGACCTAGCCCGTGCAGTTTCCTTGACTGGTTGCTGACAGTGTAGCCCCAGGCCCTTTCTGAGCCTCCTTCAGGTCACAGCGATCCTGCGCTAGCTCACTAACCCTAACACCTCCATTTGAGCTTGGGGAGCGCCCAGGGCACGAAGCAGAGGCCAGACCCTGATTCCAAGAAGCTGGCTAGAAAAGAAGCAGCAAGCCAGGGAGCCATATAACTGCGAGCCCCCGGTCACGCTTACCATGTCCAGAACCTTGAGCTGGCCGTAGGAGAAGACGATCGCGTTGGGCGGGGTAGCCACCGGCAGCATGAACGCGAGGGACGAGGACAGCGTGCAGGGAAGCATAACGTAGAGAGGATGGAGGCAGATGGCTTGAGCCTGCGGGACAGGGAGGGGAAGGTGGTGTCAGCTTCGATACCCGCAAAGGTCATGGGCATAGTGCAGTCTGTCTGTGCCTGGCACGCACGAGCTCTGCCCCTGCTGCCGGGTTTCGGGGCCTGCACTGGAAGCTCCTCGTCATTTCTTTTCTGCGGGGGAAGCTAGAGGGTCCTGTAACCAGCTTGTGATGGGCCTGATCCTGCCTGGGGCACTCGGTCACTGCTGTAATAGCAATGGGGGTTGAATCCAAGGAGAGTAACCCAGGTGAAAAATGTCATCAGGACCAAACCCACGTGCAGCTGAAAGAAAACTGGACTCAAGGGGAAGTGCCTGGGGTGCGCTACGGCTAAGCGTAGAAACAAGCGGAGCTGGGAGAGGCCGCAAGAAGTCATCTAGTCCGTGCGGTAGCTTTGAGGCATGGTGGAGCGCCTCTGTCGGTCCCGCTGCCTTTCACCAGCACTGAATTATTCTGGAGAAGTTGAGCTTGGCATTTAGAAAGCACCTGCATGTACACACGTGCGTGCCCCTTAACCCTCACTAGCACCGCTCGAGTACGTGACCTGTCCACTGTCGGCCTATAGGAGCTGGAAGACTTGAGCGCACCGGGGGCTTTTCCTCCAAGAGCAGTTTGCAAAGGAGGGACTTACCATCGACGCCAGAATGGGAAGGAACAGGGTGGTGGTAGCCACGTTACTGGTGCATTCAGTGAAAGTGGCAACCAGGAGGCACAACAGCAAAGCAATGGCTGCGGGTGGGATGTTCTGCAAAGGGGTCAGCTGGTTTCCCAACCACAGAGACAAACCAGACTCCTGGAAGAGAGGGAGAGAGAGCTGTGAGCATTGCCAGCCCCCGGTCCGGCGCCAGAAGAGAACTGGGCTCGCGGCAGGTTTCCTGGCCAACCGCACGGGCGCCGCTTGCGGTGGTCCCCTCTCCAGCTCTGCGCTCGGCAGAGGCACAAACAGGCCTTGTTCACAAACGGCAGATTGGAGGCGGACAGGCGCGCCTCTTCATACTAATGCCTCCCTGTCTTCCCCCTTTCCAGGCTGTTTGGGGCACGAGTTGCCCTGACATCCTGAAGTCTCCTTAGAGGTGCCCAGGCAGCGAGGCTGCCAACACGGGCTGCTCGATTATGCCCACGCGTGCTGCCCCCAACAGCCCTCCTTTTACTTGGCTGTCTCGCTACACCTGATATCCCACCGCTCCATCCTGCACGTGTCCGTGATCTCATCTTTCCACTTTACCAAGGCAGTGGACGCTTGTCCAGATCTGCTCCTCATCCCGTCTCAAGTGCTCCAGCTACTAATATCCCCACAACATGATCTGTTTGGTTCAGTTGCCTCATTTCCCCACTTTGCTTCCCTCGGCAGGCTCCCTTTTCTCCACTGCTTCTCAAATTCAGCTTGCTCTCACTCATCAGGTCCTCTGTGGTCTCATCCTGCTCATGTCTTGTGCGGTATCAAGCTGGGATACTGGCCTTTGTTTCCTATGAATCAGACCTTCACTATAAGAACCTGTACATGTTCTCCCAGGTCACCCTGGATGTCTGCGAGTAGGTCCCCAGACAAGTCTGCAGCATGCTATATTAGTTCTCCTCTGCAAACTTCTGCTGTAATGCCTACGAAAGGCCACGGCAAGTACACGTCTGGTGTGCTGTTACCGCCGCTTCATTACACTAATCCCCACCATCTGTTTCTTATATCCACCTATTGTCTTCTGTCTTATGCTGAGATTATGAAATCTCAAGGATTAGGGCCGCCTTTCTCTTGGGAATGTGTACCTTCCTCTCACGACGGGTCCTAATCCCTGTCCAGGGCTCTAGCCGATACCACAACAGAACTAATGACTTGTTCTTAGGAAGCGCTGTTTGTTCGAATCTGCACTTCCTTGCATTCACGTGACGTCAGGGTCATCTTTGCAATATTTATTTGCTAAACCGGGGGAGAGAGGAATGGGCTACGCATGGTTTGGCAGCTCAGCTGAGTCTACTGCTGCTCGCCCTTCACCTGAGTGTCACAGCGCATAGAAAAAGCCTTCTGTCTTAGACTGTTCACTGTATTATGCCATCTTCCTCCAGGACTTTTTGTCCATGGTGCAGCCAGCCTTTGAGAAAAGCAATACTGGCTGAATGTCTCTTGGGCAGGGGAAGTGGATGCAACGTATACCCCCAGCTGTAACGTCAGGAGTCTGCATCAGCGGGGCTGGAGCACTTTGCACAAGGGCAGCGCCCAGCAGTAAAGGGGCTTGAAATAGTTGGTGCTTCTCACCCACCGTGGCGCTCTGTTGCACCAGCACAGTCTCAGTGGGTGGTGGGAGCAGCTGTGTTCAGCCCTGCCTCCCCCTGCCCCTGGGTGACGAGGGCAGAGGGCGGTGGAGTCCCTCCCTGGCTCTAGCTGAGAAACCAGATGGTTTGTGCGGCTGGGGCGGCCCCTAGCGTCACACGGGGGGGATAAATGGAAAAGGAGAAAAACCGTATCCCTGAAACATGGAAGATGTCGTAATTAGCTGTTTTGAAATGAAAACTTCACGGCTGAACAAGATAGAAGCAAAATTCAACATCCTGCCTGCCGGGGAACAAGCCTGCTTCTGCCTGTTGTCTGTGCTTTGCATGCTTACAGAGCAGCCCTTTTTAAAACGGGCTGTCGTACCCAGGCGATCCCGACCATCTTTTAACTCCCCTGTGCAAGATGAAGTTTCATTTCTACCTGGGAGAACTTTTATAATCTTTGACTTCTCCTTAGCCTGCGGAAGGGTGTTTGGGCCTGAAAGCTTGCAAAGAAAGACATTTTCTTCCTGCTATTTAGCTGGTCCAATAAAAGAGACCACAAGAGTTTTGCTGGCCAAAGGACACGGAAGATAGAAGTCGTGCATGAAGGCAGATGTTTTGGACAGACCACGTTACCTCGCTGCCTTTGGCCAGAGCAAAGCCGCCTCCTAGCAGAATCACGATGTTCCAGGCCATCTTCTCATTGATGGTCTTCCACTGCAGGAGAGGCGGAGGCACTCGGACCTGCCGTGGGCTACCTGAAATCCAAAGCCACGGTGTCAAGCTGGGGAAGGGAGGCTGCACCCTGGAGCGCAGCCCTGAGCATCCTTCTGAGCACAAGGGGAAAGACTAAACGGCTGCTCCGTCCGCGGGCCGGGGCCGGACGGTTTCCCCAGCCCTTCCCCTGCGTGTGCCTCCCCTAACGCGGGGCAGTGGGGCCCCAATGCCGGTCACAATGGCAGTGTCCGATGCTGGTAAAACTCCCTGCCCCTCGTGTTGCCCGAGAGAGGCGAACTGGCGGGAGATGGATGTTAGGCCAAGCAGCAGAAAACGCTTCCCATCAAGGAGATCAACTAGACTTTGGAGATCTTCCTCTCCAAAGGAGTGATGACAGCCTTGTCATTTCAGAACAGGCTGCAGGGAGCTTGCCGGGAGGTGGTGGGATGACCAGGTGTATGGGAACATACCCTCGGAGCTGCTAAATGCTCCTTCCAGAAACCCCTTGTCCTGTCACGGACCCTCCAGCCTCAGCACCTTTTCCGTGTCCTTCCCTCGTGACTTAACCTACGTGAAAGAGTCATTCTGCACGATCAGAGCAAAGCCCTGCAGGAAAGTCCAAATGGGTCTGAAGACACGTCCCCTGTTTTGTTCTGCGGGATCTCTTTGGTGCTTTCAGATCCCCCCGAGTATCTGCAGTGCAGGGAAACTCGCAGCACGGGTCTCCGATGCTCTGAGCTGGCTCTTACCGTTTTCTTCGGCATGCCCAGCATTAGCCCGAGAGAAGCAGCTGGGAACCTCCGAAGGGATTATGAACATCAAAAGCGAAATGAAGATGACCACTGTTGCATCCGTGACATAACTGCAAGAGAGGGAACAGGGACTGAGTCTCGGCATGTGTTTTGGGAGTGTAGAGGGTGAGGGAGCGGGGGCAGCACTATTTGGGGCAATGCTTCACACCTAGGCTGGGCATGTTATAGCTTAAAGATGGAGCCAGCACATACATGGGGTTTATTCCAGCTGGGAACAGAGATCTAGTGCGGGTTGTGGGTGATAAACCGGGTTATCCCTACACCCCACAACACCATACCTAAAGGGCATGTGTACATGCCACAGTGTTTGATCCTTGTTTGACCCTAGTGTTCACTGGGCCCTTTAGGTTAGCTACCTTTTGCCATCCTTGGTGAAGGTATAAGTCGCCCAGCCTGGCATGAAACCAGGGTCTCTGGTAAACCAGAGCAGCACCAGCGCTACGAAGAGGAACAAGACGGCGATTTCGGAGAATTTCATGGAGCCCAAGTTCTTGTGCTCCTCCTTGATCACGGTGTAAGCCATTCGCTCCTTTGTCTTCTCAGAGGCGTTTGAGGTGCAACCAAAATTCTTTGCAAAGCTAGAAAGAGACAGAGAAGCAAATGTCAGAGCAGTTTCCAAAGTCTGCCGAGCTCAAGAAAACAGATCGTATGGGAGTTCAGATTCTCGGAGAGCCGGAGTTTATTGTTGGCATTTATTATTTCTGTTGTTATAGCACATTTCCATGGAGCAGGACGGTGCAGGTGGGTGCTACAAAGAGGCAACTAAAAGGTGCTCCCTGCCCCAGAGAGCTTAACGTCCAGACGTAGGCAACATTGAATGGGTATGGACAGACAGAAAAGCACAGAGCAGCGCAGAGGCACACTCTTCCTGGCATCACAGCCAAGGAGACTTGTAAGGCTGCATTTGATGGAGAACAATGAAACAAGGGCAACCGGCGCACATGGTGCACAGAGAAGAGTCAGCAGAGGGATTCAAAGGAAGGGGTGATGGGGCCCAAGGGACAGGCTAGACGATTCGCTGCCTCTGGGCATTGTAGCGTCTCCTGGGCAGGATCGGTGATGCCTTGCTGAGCACGTGCCACTTACTTAAACCCCAGGAAGAGTATCTGGAGCCAAATCCAGGAGAGAAGCAGCAGCAGGAGCATGGTCGGGAAAGCGAAGGTGAACCAGGAGGCGAAGTTCACGATGTTGCCATTTTCAGGGAAGAGCCTGTCAACACAACGGATGTCAGCCCCGCGGCTCTGCCCCCACTGCTGCGTTACAGCCGGTGCGCCGGAGGGGCGGGGGTCTGGGGCCAGGCCTGGGAGCACCCCATCCTGGTTCTGCCTCCCACACAGCATCCCCCACCTCGCATTTTATGGCTGTGCAATGGCTGCAAAGCTAACCAGCAGCCCCAGTTCTGGGGTCTAAGGTGGGTTCCAGCCGGACTTACTCGTCCACCTGTCCTTTCATCACCAGGTTGGGGGTGGTCCCCGTCAGGGTTGCAATCCCGCCAATGCTGGACGCGTAACAAACGGAGAGGGACATTCCCTTGCAGTTTTTCAGGTGCTTCTCCTCTCGCAGCCGCTCCTCCTCCTCTCGCAGCCGCTGATCGTCCTCCACTGTCAGCACGTGCCCGTTACCTGGGGGCAGAGACCGGACGAAGGAGGTGCGTAAGCCTGCTGGATGGAGGGGGCCTGCCTGGCACCCACTTCCTGCCTTGGCATAGTAGGCCTGCAGCGGTGAGGCATGGCAGCTGGACATGGTCCCTTTAGGGCAGACCTGGCAGCTCCGTGGCTGTATTGCCCCAGGCAGAGAGAAGCCCAATACAGTATCTGACGGCACCGTGGGCAAGCACCAGCACCTGGAATTAGGAGCCGTGCTTGACCTGAGGTGGGGCAGGGGGAGAGAGGGGGAAAGCTCAGGAAGCTGCAACAGAAATGCAAAGCCCTGGAGAGCAAAGCAGCCCACCCTGCCCCAGAGCACTTGCATTCCTCACTCGAGCGCCAGAGTGGACAGAAGAGGACGGCAAAGGGGAGGCAGCTGCTCGGTCCTGGGCACCAGGGTCCAAAGGGACCATCACAATCGTCTCCTCTGACCTCCTGGTACGAAACAGGCCAAGGATGTCACTCAGCCGCTCCTGAACGGAGTCCAGTGGCTTGTGGCTGAGCCGTGGGGTATTTTTAGAAAGGCATCTAACTCAATTTAGAGAATTCAAGGGACAGAAATGTGATACGTCCCTAGGCAAGCTCTTCCAGCAGCTACTCGCCTGCCCGCAATTCTTATCCTGTCCCAAGGTTGAATTTTTCCAGCTTCATCTTTTGGCAATTGGGCGTTGCTATGCCTTCGCAGGGCCCTCTGGCCTCAGAAATCTCTGATACATGTGGGCACCAAAAGTACTTTTCTCCCTTCTAAACTCGACATTTGGAAGCAGCACTCGGAAGCGGGTGGAGGACGAGAAGGTGTCCAAGTCCTTCCCATCACCTGAAGGAGACGACACCCGCAGCTACGCACCTTGTTTCTCTTTGGAGGCCTCTGACTTTTCTGACCCCTCCTGCAGCTCAAAGGCTTTATTGATGCTCTCAGACGTGTGCTGAATTGGGCCTGCCTCCACTTCTGACTTGTGCAGCTGATCCAGTACTGCTTGTGCGATGGGCACCATCATGGCTGTGGTGGCTGTGTTGCTGATCCACATGGAGAGGAAGGCAGTGACAACCATGAAGCCCATGAGCAGCCTGCAGCGAAGAGGGAAGGTAGGAAGGTCATGTCAGAAAGTGAGGGCACGAGGCCTTTTATCCATTGCCCCTGCCACCCAGCCTCTGCCCTCCCTTGGACACAGCAAAGATTAAAAGCATCTCCTGCTCTCTCAGCCCATGAGCACGCAGGGTTTACTTGTACGTAGGATTCACAACTAGCCCACCCTCCCTCTCAGGGTAGGCAGGAAGGCTAGAGGGGCTTAGGAGAGGGTGGAGGGGCAAGGCTTCCCTACTAAAATGATGTATGTGGTGCAACGAGCTCAACGGCATCCCTTTGTGACTGCACTAACGACCCTTTGGGATGATCTTCCTTATCGGGTTCTGCCTTCTCAAGCCGTAATTCCCTGCAGGTGCTGTTCTGGCTAGGCTGTGCCTTGGGCCTTGCTGCAGCCAGACACCACCCACTGCATCCCAGTGCAGCTGTGCTGGGGTTTTCCCTTGGGCAGATGTGCCTGCTTGCCCAGTGAGGTCCCATTACCTCCAGTGGGGACAAGTCGGTCTGAGTTTCTGGCCTGCAATGTGGATCCCACGCAGAGCTCCAATGCAGAAGGGAGCCAGGGGGCCTGTTGCACCAGGGATTGCCCAGCAAAGCCAATGCAACAGCAGTGTGGTGCTGCCCTGGACATGGCACCACAAAGGTGAGGGATGGGAATCCCCAGAAGTCGGCCCAATCTCAGCCCCGGGCCCCAGGTTTGGCCTGTGCAAACCTGCTCCACTGTTGCTTGGGGGTGTCTTGGCAATGGAGAAGCAAGGCTAGGTGTGCCGGAGCAGACGAGCTACCCGCCTGCTCTGGGACGCAGCTCCCGACAGAGACCAGTATCAGATGCTTGTGTGCAGCCTCCGTAATGCATCCATGTGTCATGGGAACTCCTTTTGGAGCCCAGATGGGGATCGGTTTACACCGTGAGGTAAGGAGATCATTTGATCCTATCTTGTACCTGCAGACATAAAAGCCTGCTCCTTGTTTGCCTCTTACACTGCTACTTGTCTCCTCGGCACTGAGGGTCCCCAGTTATAAGCTGCATGTGAAATGTTTTGCTTTTTTCCCATTTTTTTTTCCTTGCTGCATCTCCTGGGACAGGGCAAGCTGGCAGGACCATTTCACTCCCTCCATCTGTCTTGTAGACCTCTCTCATTTTGCTTTACAGTCCCCCTTTCCAAATCAAGTGGGCTCAAGCTCACCCATCTCTTTATGTATGGATGCCGTCTCTTTCCCCCTCCACCACCCAAGGCCTCCAGCTCTTCACACAGAGCTTTTCTGTGGTTTGGTGTTTGGTTTGTTGTCACCCCTTCCCCGTGGTCTCCTGGATGGACAACATTAAGTATAGCCTGTGCAGCCAGTCCATACAGAAGTGGAAAGGAAGAGAGTGGGTTGGTGTGTGTCGGAGGATCCAGCGGTTCATTACCCAGATCCCAGCTCCGGGTAGCACTGGGAAGGGGTGAGAAAGCCCCTAAGGGATGGTCCCAGGTAAACTGCAGCTCATGTGATTTCCCAGCCTTTCACCCTGAGGCACCTCCCTCACCCTGGCACGTGTGTGTCAGGTGCACACTCACAGGGCAGGCCTAACCCCGATGATCAGCAAGACCCGCAGGGCGATGCGCTTGTGCAGATTCCAGTGCTCCACCGCGATCGCCACCATCAGCCCCCCGATGAAGAGCATGTTGGTGTCCTTCAGATACTCCATGCAGACCTGCAGGGCAAAGTGGGAGAGGACAGCATTGCAGACAGCAGGACAGACAGTCAGACAACTGTGCTGCCGGAGGGCCGTGTCCCAGAGATGCTGTCAGCCTGGCCACGTGCCCCAGACAGCTCCCGAGAGCCCTCCGGCTCTGGGGAGGAGCTGGACACGGGGTTCATCCCAGATTCCCAGCTCCACAGGAGTGCACACGGAGGAAGCCTTGTCCCTGCAGGACAGTCCCACGGATTTCCCCCCCTCGCCCCCATGAAGACACCCAGTCCCTACCGACTGGTGAGACCGAGACAGGCAGACGCCCCAGGAGAGGCAGACTGACAGACGCACTGGTGCGGCAGTGCTGCATCGCTTACTTGGGTCGAATCCATGATGTCCATTAGCGGGAACAGCAAGACGGGGAAGAGGGCCGTGACAGCCAGCGGCAACGCTTCTGTGCACCAGAACAGGGCCATCAGGATGATGACGTAGCCGCATCGTGCCTCCTGAAAGAGGGAGAGCACTGCAGCTGCCGCCGAGACTCGGGGCCGCACATCTAGTCCTTCTCTGCTCCTGGGGATTCGGTCCCAGCTGCTAGACACTTCCCCAGGGGCAGGCCAGGTGTGGAGAGGGGGACACGGTACTCTGTTACCTTTCAGGGGAGAAGGAAAGGGGCCAAAGTGTGGTGCCTTTGTGGGGGACCCTTTGACGGGGAAAGGCCAGAAACTTGCACAAGGACAACGGGCCCCGGCAGTGACTTTGAACCCTGCTGAGATAAGAAGCAGGCAGTTTCTGAACAACTCTTTTATCTTGCTGATGGCAGCAACTTCTTCCTGAGTTTCTCGTCTCCAAATGATTGAACAGTTGAGTTAGTTATTGATGCAGTCAAGGCCCCTCTGGTTCACTTTTCTCTCTGCATATTTTAAACCAGAGCCTGGATGAACTCTGTGGCTTGTGGCACAGCCCAGATTCCTTGCGTTGTAAATCATTATATGTCTTTTATTTTTGTTTGCTTTTTTCTTCCACTCGCCACAGACTTGAAACAGGCTCCCTGGCAAACTACCATCGCAGCTCGGTTTCAAATCCTAGTCGCTTCGGCTGATCGATCTGTGATGGTGCTTGGCTAGCCGCTTGCGTTATGCTTATCGAGACGAGGCTCTTCATACAGTCGTTGAGCAGCTAGCCAAATCCCTATACTGCTTTGCTAGCTATGCAAAGGGCCTTGAGCCTTTTAGTCAAGGTATCTAGTTTCAGAATTATCTAGGAAAATTGTTTTGCCCTTTACCCTGAATCATATCAGTTGTGCAAAGGTAGCACATTTATGCTTCGTTTTCTAAGAATGGCAGTGGCTCGTCAGCCAAGCCTTTTGCCATCTACAACATTATCCAAAGACTCGTGCCTTCTCCTAGAAAAGATGATCCCCAGGTTCATGTGTTATTGTTTCTCGAGGGGGTAGGGGCTTACTGCTGCTTTGGAACATAGCTCCTTACACTTCCCTCAAAGCCCAAGGAGGACGACGTTTTGAAGGCCCAGCGGCCTGCTTCCGAAGAGCTCAGCTCATGACTGTGGCCGTGTGTATACACAGCGGTGGTGATTTGTGTTTTTCAGGCCAATGTTTCCTTCCTTTTGACTTGCAGGAAAGCCTTTGTCATTATGGCTTGCTCTTGTAGACTCACCAGTTCATGTCAGGGCCTCTTGGTAACTCTCAGCTGGACAGGTTAATGCCTGAAGGAAATCCCCCTGCTTATTTTGGAGCTAAGAGACTCCGTTGTACTTCCTGCTTACTGAAATCCCTGCAGTGGAAGGTGGGAGCTAGCCACGCCAGCCCCAAGAGGCACTGCTTGGCCACCGCAGAGGAGGAGCTTCTCTCCCACGGCTCCCACCGTTCCCAGTCTAGGCTGGCAAGGGCCATGTTTAGACTCCTGGAGGACAGAAGCGCTCAGTCTCTCTCTTGACGGCCTAAGAAATCCTTGTAGCTGCTGCCAACCGTGCCCAGTGTGATGGAGGGACCAGCTGCAACACACCCAGTGGTTCCACGGAGGGACCAAAGACCCCTCCGATGGAAATAACCTCTCCCAGTCACTGCCAGTTTGGCTGAGTTCGGACCAGTGACCTTACAGTGGGAAGTTCCAGTTACCGGCGCACACCTCTCCGTTGGGCTCTTTTGGTTTCTGTCGTGATTGGGTTTTTTTGCCACTTCACTTGAGCAAACAAAAATGGATTGCTCTTATGGCTTCTTTCCTCTAGGCCTCTGTGTGTTATGAACATTGCCCCCAGGGCACTTTCTGGATGGCAGGGAGCATCATTTGTATGCATTCGTGTGGGGCCTTGAACAATGCACCTGTCTGTGCTCCCGCAGTGTACATAGGGAACACCAGAGACTTGGGTCACAGCCTGGATCAGAGTGGCAGGGTGTTTGCTGATGAAATATTTAAACAATAAAGTCAGGCTGCAAATCGGTATCAATGGAACTCGGCTCGTACAGACTAAAACATGACTGGAACGCAGCAGGTAAACACAAAAAGTAAATCAAGTGCTGAGGGTTCAAAATGATGTTCCCTCGCTGCCCTTAACTCTTATGCTGTGTCTCTGTCCACCTGTTCTCTGGAGACAGCTCTGAATCATGTCCGAGATTATCCATACACCAGCTATTCCAGCAAGTGCCTGCTTGGAACAGCAGACAACAAAGACTAAGTTCTTCAACCAAGGTTTTCGAAAGCAGCTTAAAACTGTGTGGGGGGGTTGCATGTTCTAGATGTGTCAGGTTGGGTACCAGACTCAGGCATCCAGAATCTATCATTGCAGAGGTGCAGAAAATAACCCCAACAATCGTTTGAAGACTGCCTAAATGCCTTACAGTGAGAGGCTTAAAGAGATCACTGAGTAGTTCAGCAGAAGGAAGACAGAGAGGTGATTGTATTGTATTGAATAAGTACTTCCCCAGGTATCAAATGGCAGGTACTAAAGAGCTCATTAATCTAGTATTGAATACAGTTTATAATCTGGATGGGCATAACAGGAACCAAAGGGCAGAATCTGAAGCTAGGCAACTCCAGATGAGGCATTACATTTCTACCCATGAGAATCATTAACCCTTGGGGTGGACTGCTGAAGAGC